GTCTTATTCATTTGTTAGATCATATTAAAAATGAATCTGCTAAGGGACTCTATACTGGAATGATAATGTTAGATTTGCAAAAAGCCTTTGACACGGTCGATCATCATATATTGTGTAACAAACTACAAATAATGGGTGTCAAATGTACTAAATGGTTTAAATCATATTTATGTAATAGACAACAAAAAGTTAGTATTAATGGTACTGAATCTTATTTAAGATATATTACATGTGGGGTAACACAAGGGAGTATTTTAGGACCACTATTATTCTTATATTATGTTAATGACATGTCTGTAAGTATAAGTAAAGACTGTAAAATTTTATTATATGCTGACGATAGTACCATACTATATTCTCATAAGAACCCAGAAGTTATATCTGAGAAACTGGGTAAGGAACTTGAAACTTGCAGCAAATGGCTTATCGATAATAAATTATCACTTCATTTGGGGAAAGCAGAAACTATTCTGTTTGGGTCAAAACGTAAATTGTCTAAAATTCGTAACTTTGATGTTACTTGTAATAATCACACAATCTCATCTCAAAATTGTGTGAAATATTTAGGCCTGAATATTGATAATTCTCTTTCTGGAGAAAAAATTTTAAATAATATTTTTCAAAAGATAAATTCAAGATTGAAGTTCCTATACAGACAGGCCAAATGTTTATCAGAGCAATCTAGAAAGACTTTAGTTACAGCTCTAATTCAATGTCATTTTGACTATGCCTGTTCTGCATGGTATGCTGGTGTCAGCAAAAAATATAAAGATAAGTTACAAGTATTACAAAACAAATGTGTTAGATTTATAAAAAATACTGGATATAGATCAAAAGTTGACCATAATGTATTGAATAGTATCGCGGGGAACCAGGCAGACAGTTTTGCTGGAACTGACAGTCCCTTGGGAAGAAAGGATGGATGAATCGCACGAAAGAAAGATGGCAAAATACCAACAGCTTGTAGAAGATTGCCAACAGAGGGGATGGAGGACGTGGTGCTTTGCTATTGAAGTAGGGTGCAGGGGCTTTGCGGGACAGACAGTATGGCAAGCTCTCAGGACCTTAGGAGTTGTAGGAGCAGAGAGGAAGAAGCTTATTTCAGAAGTGTGTAGACAAACAGAAGTGTCATCACAGTGGATATGGAGGAAGAGAGATGAGATCTGGAAAAGTGGAAATTAAAGATATGTGAATTAAGACATTTTGTGTAAATAATGGACTTGTGATAGAAGAGAAGTTATAACAGCTCTGATGAAAACACCAATCAGTGACAGTGCAGCAGTTACATCAGCTGACATATCGGGAGCAATGTAAGCCATCCAGTTTCAGGTTCAGACTGATCACCTGAGCCGGCGCACCTCTGGAGGTTGTTGTGGAATAGCGCCGAAACAGCCGAGGAAGGAGGACCCCACCTGATGATGGAACTGGATCAGCATTATAACGATGTTTACAAGGTAATGTTAATATTGAAAATCGTGTTAAACAATTGAGATTAAACCATGTTCATAATATCTATTACATGTACCATCATTGTTCTTATTATATGTATACAAATTTTACAAAGGTGAGACATCTTCATCATCATTTCACACGAAATAGTGAATATAACTTCTGGGTTCCACCAGTAAAGAGTCTACAAAAAGATACATTTTATTTTAATGGCATACAAGATTGGAATATGTTGCCAAATAATGTTAAAAAAAATAAAGAAAACAAAGGATTTCAAAATTAGTGTTAAAGAGTACTTGACCAAAAGTTAAAGTGCGGCCTCATCAGACTTCTTTTTATATTATTAAACTCATTTTTTATTCATATTATTCTTATATGAATTTTTTTATGTCATATTAATTTGTGTGATATCTTTTTTGTATATCGAAACTATAAGCCGTTTACATGAAGGGACCCCATTGGAAACAAGCTTTAAAGCTTTCATGGGTTATCCCTGATAAAATATCAGCAAATTTTTTCCATGCAGTTAAAGATTATCTACACTCATAAAATTAATACCATTATATTTTACAAAGTATGTGTTAGTAATGTCTTTATGTATCGTATATATTGAGTATTGTATTAACTCATATGCTTGATATTTTATTGAATAAAATATTATTATTAATCTGACCTTGACCTCAATTTCATGGTTCATTGGTCAATGTTAAGTTTTTGTGTTTTGGTCTGTTTTTCAAATACCAGAATCAATAGGTCAACTATATTTGGTGTATGGAATACTTGTAGGGTGAACATGTCTGTCTAACAGGAAAAATCTGTCCTTGACCTCATTGTCTTGGATGTTTAAAATGTTAAGTTGGTGAGATACTTGTAGTAAAACCTTTATCTTTAAGACTTTCAACATAGAATCAATAGTCAGTAAAGCAGGCGAGCATAAAGCATAAAAGATTTATTTAAAGTCGGTTTTACATATAACAAATACAACATAAGCTCTGTAGAGCTTTTATCCGAGACATTTCAGCGTGTGCACTCTTCTTCTATTATACCAAGAAACGAAAATTATTCAGTAAGCAGTGACTATAATCAGGTCCTAAATGCAATTGGTATATAAAAAAAAAATAAGAAGAAGATGTACGTGGTATGATTGCCAATGAGACAACCTTCCAACAGAGACCAAATGACATAGAAGTCAGCAACTATAGGTCATCGTACGGTCTCCCACAATGAACAAAACCCATACTGCATAAAAAGCTATAAAAGCTAGGCCCAGTATGGAAAATGTAAAACAATTCAAACGGCCTCATTTAAAAAAAAACCAAATGTGATGTACACTAGTTAATATATTAGTCCTAGTATATAGTAACAAACGACAACCCGCACTGAATTGCAGGTCCTGACTTGAAATGGTCACATACATAATGTGTTTTCGTGCGCCGAAGCCTTCCCTAACCTGGGAAAGTGCTGTAACAGCGCAACAAACCTAAGAACAAACTTTAAAAATCAGTTGTAAAATGCTTGACTCATCATAGTCAGATCGAAATAAACTTGAAAAAAACACAAAAATAAGATAGCATGACTTTGTTTAATTGCATATTTACTATCGTATTGTATATTGCAGATTGTATATTGTATGCCTGGAACATTGCTACAATCTTAATGGCTGCGTAGCCAACGGAGTAGAAAAACAATTGAGAAACCTTAACCCACACAAAGCCGATGGACCGGATAACATCAGACCAATGATACTCAAAGAACTTGCCAGCGAAATCGCTCCCATACTTACCATCATATTTAATGTTTCAATGGAGACAGGCAAAGTTCCAGATGACTGGCGGACAGCTACAGTCACACCAGCATACAAAAAGGGTCAAAAGTACATCCCAGCAAATTACAGACCAATATCTCTTACATGTATTTGCTGCAAGATCATCTAACATATTGTTACCAGCCATATTATGAAACACGCAGATGCAAACAACATCCTTTATCCACTACAACATGGATTTCGAAGTAAACGATCCTGCGAGACGCAACTCTTAGAATGCATTGATGACTTAACGAAGTACCTTGAATTGGGAAAACAGTCTGACCTACTGATACTAGACTTCTCAAAAGCATTCGATAAGGTATCCCATAGCCTGCTCCTACATAAACTCAATCACTATGGAATCAGGGGAAAGACCAACAGCTGGATAGAAGCGTTCCTGACAAATAGAACCCAAGTAGTAGTAGTTGAGGGTGAACAGTCAGACAGAGCAAAGGTAGAATCTGGAGTTCCACAAGGTTCAGTCCTAGGCCCTAGTCTATTTTTGTTTTACATAAATGACCTATCGAATGACCTAAAATCAACAGTTCGTCTCTTTGCTGATGACACAGTAGTCTACTTAACCATCGCCTCAGATACTGATTGCCTATACCTACAGTCAGACCTTGATAAACTGGCACTATGGGAGGAAAAGTGGAAGATGGAGTTTCACCCAGAAAAGTGTAGCGTACTGCATGACTGTCTCCAGAAAGAAAAAGCCAATCAAATGGGACTATGTATTACATGATCATGTACTAAAACATGAAACATCAATTAAGTACCTGGGCTGCACCATCACATGCGAACTAGACTGGGGAGAACACATCAACAACATTACCAGCAAAGCCAGCAGAAGCCTTGGTTTCCTCCACAGAAATCTGCACATCGGCTCTAAAAGCATCAAAGAGCAAGCTTACAAAACCCTAGTAAGGCCCCAACTAGAATATGCCACAACAGTATGGGACCCATATCATCAGAAACATATTGACCAAATTGAAAAAGTTCAAAGGAGGGCTGCGCGATACGTCACCAAGCGCCACAGAAACAGATCAAGTGTCACGGACATGATTAATGAATTGGGTTGGAAAAGTCTCCAAGAACGACGCAGAGAGGCCAGGCTCGCAATGATGTACAAGATCGTCAACGACAAAGTAGCCATCAACAAAGACATGTACCTCCAGAGACCAACCAGAGTATCCAGACATACACAACAGCATGGATACATGGTACAAACAGCAACCAAAGACTGCAGGAAATGGTCCTTCTTTGTGAACACCACCAAAGACTGGAACAAGCTTCCCCCGGAGATCGCCACAGCACAGTCATTTGAGACATTCAAATCTCAAATGACCAACCTTACAAAATAAGATGAACATTTGTTTTTATCCTGTTTTTAACCATGCAGAACCAAATTTGCCAGTATATTCAGAAAGTTGAATGTGGGCAGTATATGGAAGAAGAAGAAGAAGTATTATAATTGTGTATTTTTATTGTATGACCTTCTATGTATCTTTGCATACGTACCAATATTTTCCCCCGTCTATATGTATAACCCTTATGCTCCTTGTGGATCCATAATTGGTGATAAAGTATGCTGTTGGTGTTGTTTATGTTGTTATAATGTATATTACATAGAATTAAAACGTACTATACCAATTACTCAGATACGTTGTCGTGCGTTGTTGTAAAAAGTGGTTTTTATATTTTAGTGTTATTTTTATCGGTTCTAAAGAGACACAATCTATTACGAAAACTGATTTCTTGCACACCAAAACAAAGCCTATCAAGTTTCTGACTGTCATCTTTTTATCGTATTCAAAGATGTGAAAAAGACAGCATTTTGTTTAGAGATTTACAGTTAAACGGTAAAATACACAAATTATCAATGTATTGTTATTTTACAGCATGGTATTGAATTTTTGCCGAAAAAGCATAACTAAATGGGTACAGCACAGGCACTTGTTTTCTATCCATGGCAAGATCTACTATCCCTATATATATATAGGGATAGTAGATCTTGCCATGGATAGAAAACAAGTGCCTGTGATAGTAGATCTTGCCATGGATAGAAAACAAGTGCCTGTGATAGTAGATCTTGCCATGGATAGAAAACAAGTGCCTGTGATAGTAGATCTTGCCATGGATAGAAAACAAGTGCCTGTGGGGTACAGTTTGCTCATGCAGGATATCAAACAACTCGTGGTTACATGTATATAAATTAATAATCCCTGTTTTGTTGACTGTCAAGTGAAACAAGAAGTATTACTTTTAATTTGTAATGCTCAAGAATATTGTTCATACTGGTTCTTTAAACCAATAATGCTATCACATGTTGGTTTTGGCTTGACCAATTATTAAATGATCAAATGAGTTGCACAAGTGTAATACACTCAAATTTGAGCATTTTCCTGTACATTTCCTATGTCGCAATGCTTATGTAATTACGTCACAGTGAAAAACACACACACACAGTGAGAAACGATTGTTCAATTACAAAATGTAAGTCATTAACACCAATTGGCGGTCTCACTAATTAGAGACAAGAAGCGTCAAGAACACTTTTTAGCGACAAGAAATTTAATATTCTATCAATAAATATAAATTTATAAAAAAGTCAATATCTATAGTAGTAAAGCATGACACATGTTTAAAACATAGATCGAATTGCTACATTTATTAGTGATATGTATTACAGCAAATATTACGTTTTCCCTGTTATATTATGATATTAATTTTTACTAGTGTTTTAGAACAATTAGTATATATTATTGGGTTTTCTACACATTGATTTCGTAAAATATCAGCCACGAGACACAATGTGCACTTTTTTGGCGAATGAGTGCAGCGAACGAGCTAAAAAGCTTCACATTGTGTCAAGCGGCAGATATTTTACGATATCTATACGAAGAAAACCCAATTATTTGTTTATCGTTCTATTACTGGTCTTTTCCAGCTCCCTAAGACAGTTTCACGCTTGACGAAAGCAAGCATGATAACATCTCCTCACACATTGTGACGTCGCTGATAACTTCTCCTCCCTCAGACATTGTGACGTCACTGATAATGCCTGCTCTCGTCTCAAAGCCGTGTTACGAGAATTATGGAGCGACTGAGCAGGGTGATATAGGCGAAGGGAAGGACGATAATATATATTATCTTATAATTTTTTTAACACTCTCTTTGTCTAATATATAATAAACTGACTGCATGCAAAATGCATTATTTGTGCATCATTGTCCGGCAGAAAAAAACAGACATAATTTGTGAGGAACAATGAACCAAGGATTTGTATAGTAAGATTTACTATACAAATCTGAAATCATTGAAATCAAACAAGAGGAAAACGTAATTAACATCAATCTATTTTGTGTATTGCCTCATTAAACGATACTTATCATGTTTATACATGACTGAAGATTAAAGGTAATTAAAGACAATGTTGAGTTTTCAACAGGTGTTCACTATTTACAATGCTTGTATATTCTGGCGCGTGTAATTGTATAGTCTGACGCGTGTAAATAGTTAAAAGTGATAATTGGATGTTATTGTAGCATTTAAAACAAACGACACGCAAATTGCTTTTCTCATTTGATTTTTTTTCTAAACATTTTTTTTTTTTTCAAAAAGGACAAATGGATTAGACACAATTTTTTTAACTTAGTAACGTCTTTTCATTTGATGTTTCACATTGTGTGTACTGTTATCTTCAATCTTTTATTCAGAGTTTGGTATTTTGGTGATTTTACTTTTTCATACAATGACTTTGCCTAAAACAGTACATACACTATCTTAAACATATTTTGTTATATTTAATAGAAACTAGACAATCCCTTTCTTCTTTACAAATGTTTAATTTCTTTATCTATCAATATAATAAAAATAATGAAAATCACGTTATTACTGCCCGTATATATAAAAAAAAATTTTGATGCATATTTTATTAATATATTTATTTTGAATAAGTTAGTTTAAAAAGAATTATTTTAAGTTTTCTTGTCGCTAAATAGTCTTCTTGTTGCTTCTTGACGCTTCTTGTCGCTTCTTGACGCTTCTTGTCGCTAATTAGTGAGACCCCCAATTGGTCAACCACTATAACCCATTAAAAAATAACAGCTTGAGGTTGGTATGTTGATTGAACAAGACAAGTCAAGTATGCAAATCTGATGCATCTGCTAAAGTGTCAAACTAGGAATATTTCTGACATGACAGATCTGTAAAGAAATGTTGGAATGTATGGCAAAATCCATGAAAAAAATGCATTTCGAATAACATCTGATCCAAAATTCAATAACACTTTTAAATATTTGGATGATATATTGGCTCTCAATAATGATATTTGGATGATATATTGGCTCTCAATAATGACGACTTCAGTATGTACACTATTTTAAGAGATTTATCTTGCTGAACTGACTTTAAATAAAGCTAATACTGACAATGAACACTGCCCTTTCCTGGATCTTGATATTTATATCTTTAACAGGAAGCTTAATACCAAAATTTATGATAAAAGAGATGAATTTTCATTTCCTATTGTTAATTATCCATTTTTAGATGGTGACGTTCCCTGACATTATTATACGACCGCAAAAATTAAAAATTTTTTGTTATACGACCGCAAAAATTAAAAATTTTTTGGTCGTATATTGGTATCACGTTGTCGTCGTCGTCAGCGTCGTCCGAAGACAGATGGTTTCCGGATAATAACTTTAGTATAAGTAAATAGAAATCAATAAAATTTTAACATAAGGTTTATAACCACTAAAGGAAGATTGGGATTGATTTTGGGGGTTATGGTCCCAACTGTTGAGGAATTAGGGGCCAAAAAAGGGGCCCAAATAAGCATTTTTGTAGTTTCCAGACAATAACTTGTGTTAAAGTGTATGAATCTCTCTGAAATTATTCCACAAACTTCCTTACAACAAAGGGATGGTTAGGATTGACTTTGGGGGGTTATGGCTCAAACCATTTAGTAATTAGGGGCAAAAAAAGGGGGAAAACAAGAGTTTTTCTTGTTACAGGACAATTGAGACAATTTAAAAGCAGTGTAAGGGAGGTAATCCAATTCAAATTAAAGAACACTGTTTGATTACCTCCCTTACACTGCTTGTAAATTATGTATTAAGAAATTATGATTGTCTTGAGGTGATTAGCTGTCAATTTATTTTTAGCAGTTACTATTAATTAATATTAATTTTAGCCATAACTATGTATGTCATTTTATATTTTAAAACTTTATGATGTATTTAAATGGGTAATTTTGGTTGCAAACTGCATTACAAATGTGAATTGAGATACTGACCATATCTTGAGGGAAAGAATTTTTTTGGGGAATAAGCGAAAGGGGGAGGTGAAAAAAAATGGAGGGGGGGGACAATTTTTCTCATTTCAGATTTCAGAAATTATAAGAAAATTTCTTCAAATATTTTTTTTTGGGGGTTGATATTCAACAGCATAGTGTATTGCACAAAAGCAAAAAACCGGGGTAAAATAATTTTTTTTTGGTAGGGGGAGGGGGGGGTCAATTCGCAACAACATAGTGTATTGCACAAAAGCAATAAATTGAATATAAATTCAAATCATATAACCAATTTGAAGTTCTTTGACTACAGTTATTCTGTGTCAGAAACCTATTATGTGTCAAAAATTTAGTTACAATCCAAATTCAGACCTGTATCAAGCGTGAATATTGTGTCCATTTTGGCCAAACTTTTTCAGGGTTGGACATCTGCAGTCGTATCCAGCTGCGCTCAGCGAAGCAATTTATTACACCAGGGTTTTCGATATACACTATTTACAAATGATGTCTTTGTACCGACCCCACAGTACAAAGACTTCATTCGTAAATATAAATCAACATGCAGATATCATATACGTTCAGGTATTTCACATCCAATCTTTTATGATAATATTCTATACAAAGCACAAAAATGTCGACATTCACTTCAAAAGCTAACCAAACCTTTAAACAGACTTATTCAGAAGGAATATAGTTACGATACTGTTGTCAGGTCATTAAAGATGGCATATTTTGGTATTAATATTGATTCACTCATAGGGGCTTTGCATCGGAAATAAACGCATTTATTCTAAAACCAGTTGTTGGCATGATACAGGTTATGTTCTCATATATTTTATGATGGTATGATACTAAACCCCTAACAGGAAGGATTGTGCTTGATTTTCATATGATGAAGACATAATCTTTCAATCAGTTTAATTGAGATCTGGAGCTGGCATGTCAGTAACTGCTAGTAGTCCTTTGTTAATTTATGTACCATTGTCATTTTGCTTAGTTTCTTTTGATACCTATTCTGACATCGGACTCAGACTTCTTTTAAACTGAGTTTTACTGTGCGTATTGCTGTGTGTTTGTTTATTCTACATTGGCTAGAGGTATAAGGGGAGGGTTGAGATCTCACAAAACATGTTTGCATTTTGCGCCTGTCCCAAGTCAGGAGCCTCTGGCCTTTGTTAGTCTTGTATGTTAATTAATTTTAGTTCATTTGTATGTTTTGGAGTTTAGTGTGTCAGACGTCCATTTTCATTGAACTAGTACACATTTTTGTTTATGGGTCAGCTAAAGCCCGCCTCCGGGTGCGGGATTTTCTCGCTGTGTTGAAGACCCATTGGTGGCCTTCGGCTGTTTTCTGCTCTTTGGTCGGGCTGTTGTCTCTTTGACACATTCCCCATTTCCATTCTCAATTTTATTTGTTTACTTGTTTAAATTTAGATTTTGTTCAAAAAATGGTATGCTACATGTACATTTGATTTTAGAAACATTTCTGTTTTCATAATATTAAGATAATAAGGGGTCAACAGATCCAATGTTTTGCAGTCTGAATCTTTTAGTTTTCAGTAATGTATTAAGATTATACATGAAAGCTACAATTTTGAAGCATGACTTTTTACATTATATGTCAAGATAAATAGAGTTATACAGAAGACAAAAATGAATCCCCATATGAATTTTGAATGAATTAAAACTGAAATAAGCATAAGCAATAGCAATTAAATTTCTTTACATAATTCTTTGGACTAGTTTTTATACGCTCGTTACGGGACTTATTATGGTATACCGTTGTCCGTCTGTCTGTCCGTCCGTCTGTCCGTCCGTCGTCAACATGTCAGACATTAACTCAAAATTTTAGATTTTACTTTTCCGAGGTATGGTGTTTTATTCATTAAAAAAGGGGGATTTTCCAGTTTTTGGACAATAACCCAAACATTCTTTCACTAATTTGCAAGAAACTTTGGTCAATTGTTTATATCTATTGACATGAGCTCCCCTTCGATTTTTATAAATTTTAGCTTTTACGTTTCCGAGTTATGGGGTTTTATTCATTAAAAAAAGGGGGGTTTTCCAGTTTTTGGACAATCATTCAAAAATGCTTTCAGCAATTCTCTTGAAACTTTGGTGAATTGTTTCTATCTATTAACATAAGCTCCCTTTTGATTTTTTAAAATTTTAGATTTTACATTTCTGAGTTATGGGATTTTATTCATAAAAAGGGTGATTTTTCAGTTTTCAGACAATACCTTTAAAGTGCTTTGAGCATTTTCATTAAACCTTTGGTGACTGATTTATATCTATTAAGATAACCTCCATTTAGTTTTTTGTTAATTTCAATTAAGTTATTGAATTTTATTCTTAAAAAATGCGACGGGCGTATAATGCGCTCATGGCGCAGCTGTTTATTGAAAATGGCACTTAAGTGAAAAAAAAATTTTAGCCACTATTTATGCATGTACATTCTTAATTTGTATTACTAATTTCTAATTGGTTGTATAGAGCTCTGGAAAAGTAAATGCTATCTTTATCCTTTTAATTATTCAAAATTCCAGTTTTAACAAGTTCTAAATGAATAAAAAATTTCCATAAAATCTGAGGTACCACCCAATTACGTATTCCCTTATTTACCTGCCAGGGAGGACAAGTTATTCCCTGAAATTCTGAAGTGAAGTGACCCCGGCCTGTTGAACATAAATATTTCTAGACTTTGGGTTGATTTGAGACTTTCCATATGGTAACAATACTTTTCTATTGTGGAGAAATGTATGTTGGCCTTGGTGCTATTGACTTTTGTATTTTTTGGTTGCTGTCTAATTGATTTATGTGCCACATATCCTTTTATTAATACTTTAGTCATTGTTTTTGATAAAAATACATTCGATTAAAAAGAAAATCATCAAATTTGGGGGAAATGTGCATGGTGCATGTGAGATTTTTGCAAAAATATATAAAAGTAAATTTGTTTAAACAAACTTTAAATGTTAATTGTATGTTATTTACAAGCCTTGTACATGTATTAAAATTTATCATAGAGTAAGTGTATGAAGACCATTATGTAAAGGACTTTCTTGAAACTCGCTTCTGAAAGCCAGAATCAGATTTTAAAACTACAATAAAATTGTGTTGAGTTATTTCCCTTGTTGGGAAGCATACTGTTAAAATACTGATTTGCTGCAGTACAGAGCAATGATGAGAACTACATAGAAAACTGTGTAAATCTAATATATGTTCATTTCTAGCTTAATAGTCGAGGTTGAGTACATGTATTTTGGAAGAAAAAAGACCATTAATAATTTCTAAATTTATATAACATGTATAAACTACATATTATCTTTAAATCAACAGGGATTAAAAAAAAACCTTATCATTGACTCTTCATTGGTCTTCATTGCTGTGAAGTAGATCTGCTGACCAACAACATGAACAAGGGAAATTACCTGCTTCAAATGATAAATTAAGAATAAAATTCATTAGTTTCTTGATAGGGCTCTACAGAACTGTTTAGATAAACATGAACATGTGTATATTGTATGCAATGATTTTTTATTCCAGAAATTGTACTTTAAAGATCATGGCAACCACCAGAGCATCAGTTAATGGTAACAAGGTAAAAACAGGCAAGATTAAAACTGTTGTTGCTAAACCAAATCTGGCAAGAAAGACCACTATTAAAAATAGTATCGAAGTGAAGGAGAATTCTAAAAAATGTAAAATAGCAGTTAAAAAGCCAAGATATTCAAAATCTAAAGTTAACACTGATGGGGAAGCAATAGTAAAGAGTATGATGTCAGCTGATGGAAAACTGGTGCTGGAAACCCAAAACAATAATGTAAAATCAGAGAATAAGCCAACAAAAAAGAAAAATGTAAAGAACACAATTTTCCTTTGTGAGCATTGTGCTACTTACTTTAAAAGGGGTTATGATTTGGACTTACACATAAAAAGGGTTCATTGTTCTAAAGAGTGTGACAAATGTCAAAATGTTTTTTCCAGTTTTCGACTTCTAACAGAACATTTAAAGTTTGTTCATGGTGTTGAGCCTGTGAAGTTTTACACAAAACAATGCACAGAATGTAATAGGTTATTTGATACAAACACAGAGCTATCAGAACATCTTGCAATCCACACTGGTGAGAACTTACATACATGCAAAGATTGTAACAAGAAAATTAGTAGCAAATCTGCATTCAAGTTTCACCTGAAAATTTGTCAAAATGCAGATAGCTTGAAAAACTACGAATGCGAAATTTGCCAAAAGAAATTTTATTTTAAAAGTGATTTATTGAGACATAGTTTAACACACTCTGGAGCCAGACCACATAAATGTCAATTTTGTGATACAACATTTAAGCTTCGAGGAGCTCTGGTAGAGCATGTTAAATCCTTACATGAAAACTATAAATATCCTTGTGAGACCTGCGGTAAAATATTTACAGCAATGAGGAACCTTAAACGTCATACTGAAACACATAGGCCCGATTTTGAAGCAAGTAAGCCTTTATGTACAGAGTGTGGCAAGTCTTTCAGATTTAAAAGTGATCTAGAAAAACACAAGAGAATACACAGTGGAGAAAAGGCATTTGAATGCAAAATTTGTAAGAAGTCTTTCCGCTTGAATTCACATCTTAAACAACACATGGTTACACATACCGGGGAGAAACCATTCAAATGTAAATTTTGTGAAAAGGGTTTCAGTCAACTTGCTAATGTCTTATGCCATGAAAGGAAGCAGTGTAAGCAAAGACTAGGATATCATCAAACACAAACTGGAGAATGCACAGAAGTTATTGATGATGTAAAAACAGATGTGGATAATTTAAAAGAAACTGGAAAGATTGACAAGAAGCAAAAGAAAAATAACAAAAGAAAACGAAAAAGTACACAAAAATTTGACATAATTGATTGGGAACTCACAAGTGAAACATGTTCTAACAAAGAAGATAGTGGAACAATCAAACAGAATAAAAAACTGGTTGTCATGGAAATGGAAAATGAGATAACTGTCATTAGTGACGGTGAAGAAAAAACTGTTGTTGCCAACAGTAAAAAAATACATTCAGTACACATTGACGGTTGTAAGAGTGTAACTGTGCCAGAGATCAACAGTAAACAAATACATTCAGTACACATTGATGGTTGTAAGAGTGAAACTGTACCAGAGATCAACAGTGATGAGACAATCTCTGTCTCCAAAAATAAACTGAAAAATAATGGTGATAAGTTTAGTGGCCATAATATCTCAGAGGGAAACAATGGCAACACTTCATTGGATAAGACAGAAGATTCTAACCATGCTCACACCAAAAGACAACATAAATACCAAAGACCATATGCAGCAAGATGCATGGGAAGGAAAGCCAATTCCTCAGTAAATCAAAAAGGTTATATAAAGAACGATATTTATGAACAGTTAATGAAAAGTTGTCAAGATAAGCTAAAATCTGGGGAAGTATTTCCGTTTACAGATCCTTCTGTAGATTTCGAAAAAGATGAAGATATTGATGTTGATTTGGTTGAATCAGTTCCTATGTCAGATAATTTAATGGCTACAAATTCTTTGGTGTTCGTTACAGAAACAGAACTTTAGTTCTAGTGAGAACATTTATCCTGTCAAAGCTTAAAATGCTGAACAGTCAATTAATAGTTAGGTAAATGCTGAACAGTCAATTAATAGTTAGGTAAATGCTAACAGTCAATTAATAGTTAGGTAAATGCTGGACAGTTCATTAATAGTTAGTTAAATGCTGAACAGTTCATTAATAGTTAGTTAAATGCTGAACAGTTCATTAATAGTTAGTTAAATGCTGAACAGTTCATTAATAGTTAGCTAAATGCTGAACAGTTCAGTAATAGTTAGCTAAATGCTGAACAGTTCATTACTAGCTAGTTACATGCTGGATAGTTATTTAATAGCTAGTTAAATGCTGGATAGTTAATTAATAGTGAGTTAAATGCTGTTGTGTTTTAATGCACTTTGTTTAACCAAACCTAAAGTATTTATGTGTTAAAAAGCTCCATCTATTTTGAACATATGTGTACATAATTGAGCACATGCAATTATGTACACTTTAACTTTAGACTTTACTTTCTAAATACAATAGAACAAACACAAGTTTGGATACTGAATGGCGCTGTGACCACCTCAAATTTCATTCTTAAATACAATATTTTACTTTTTGTATATGCCTTAAAAGTCCATTAAGCTACATTAGTCAAGTCCATCAAAACAACATAAGATACAATGCCTGGCAGAATCTTGAACAATGTCATGTTTTGTAACAAAATAATCTACAAAATAAATACAACACATTTAAATACTGTCATGACTGTACTATATAAAAACAAAAATACAAATATTTTTGTAAAAAAAAAAAACAACAAAAAAACAAAAAAACTTCTACCTATATATACTAAGTGTGTTTGTGTGGTCACTACCCAGTCCTTGATAACTAAAAACCAGTGCAATTAGCTCTCATACTGACCGCCAAATCGGTTAACAACAATGGTTACACAACATATATAAAATCCCCATTATAAAATTAGTATGCAATCTTTCAAATTCATTCAGAATACCACACATAAATTCATGACAGTTCATTAACATGATTAATAGCTAGTGAAATGCTGGACAGTACATTAATAGCTGGTTGAATTATATCTTAAAATATATGTATGTGAATTGTCACACACTGTTTTCCTTATGATCTTTTGTAGGATTTGGGATTGACTTAAAAGAATAGTGTCCTAGCTAGAAACATGAATTCTACAGGCTTCAATATTGAGTAATAGTCAGTTTCAATTTTTTGGGGCTTACAATGTATATAACTTAAAGAGTAGTAGGGAATTTCAAATTATACTTGTACAATGAAATATGGAATTTCAAATTTTAAGGGATGGGAGCTTATATTAGAGAAATAGGGAATTTAGAATTTTAAAGGATTAATAGCAAATTTAATATTTTAAATGTTAGGGCTTATATAGAGTAATAGGTAATTTAAAATTTTAAAGGATTAATAGTGAATTTCAAATTTTAAAGGATGGGGCTTATAATGTTTATATATAACATGTAAAGAGTAATAGGGAATTTAGAATTTTAAAGGATGGGAGCTTATTTATAATTTTTTTTTAAAAGCATTGAGCTTATTTATATTGAGTTATACAAAATTACTAGGATGGAGGCCACGAATGAAGCCCCACCATGCATGCACCCTCAAGGGAAAATACTGGAGAAAGGAAATTTGAGTTCCAGGTTAAATTATTACAAACATATGATATTCATGTATTCAGTTTATATCTAATCATTTTTTGTGTGATTATGTCTATGTATGTTGTAAAATTCCTGTTTATGATTTATGACTTTAACACATATTTTGAATGGAAGATTTTAAGTATTGTAAAATAAATGTTGTCTGAAGTTAAATGACCTGAACTGAACTATAGAGTATTTAAGACTCATTAAGAGGACATTCTACATGTAAGATTGTAGGGATATTCTGGTCTGAAAGAATTGTGGGCTATTCTTGTCTTTACACTGTACCTAAGTTACTTGATCCTGTTAACACATGAAAGAATGACCTATGGTAACTAGTTGGAGGGATACATCTATCTAGGCACTTGATCCAGTTAACACACAAATATTCACCAATGGTTACTTGTTAGGAAGATATATCTTTACACGCACTCAGGTTTCCTTGACCACTAATCACCATGGAATATTGTATATATTGATTATTTAGAAAAACAAATGTTATGTAGTGTAAAAGGAAAAGACTAAAATTGACTAGTGTATATATTTATTTTTTTATGAAATTTTACAAAATTCTACATGTATTTAATATATTATAGAAATTGAATTATAATTAAAATATTACAAGAAAAACTCATTTTAATTTTTAGTCATCCAAATGTAGAGATAGCATGTTATATGTAGTAATTATATACAACATCTGTTTTCAGTATTTTATTATTCAATATGTCATTTTGAATTGCAATTAAAATCAAAAAGTCTATAGATTATTTTTACAAAAGTTATCAACAAGTTCACATATTTTAATTAGATAAAGATGTTATTCAGAGCTGCATATTGATGTTGAAGCAAATACTGCAAACTTTAACCATTTTATATGCCCCCACTGTAGCAGAGGGGGCATTAAGTTTTACCATTGTCCGTCTGTACGTCCCAAAATTGGTTTCTGTTCTCTAACTTTAGTTTGCCTCAACCAAATGTTATGAAACTTATACACAATGCCTATTACCACAAAACACAGATCAAGTTGGAATTTTGGTGGCGTCACTTTTACTTTACCATTCAAGAGTTATGCCCCTTTACAAATGGAAAAATTGCTGACTTTTTCATTTCCATTCTCTAACTTAAATTTGCCTCAACCAACTGTTATGAAACTTATACACAATGCTTATAACCACAAAACACAGATCAAGGTAGAATTTTGGTAGCGCCACTTTTACCGTTTTAGAGTTCTACCCCTTTACAAATGGAAAAATTTCTGAATTTTTTGCTTCCGTTCTCTAACTTAAGTTTGCCTCCACCAAATGTTATGAAACTTATACACAATGATTATTACCACAAAACACAGATCAAGTTTGAATTTTGGTGGCATCACTTTTACCATTCTTGAGTTATGTCCCTTTATAACTTTATATGCAAGTGGGGCATCATCTGTGTCCCATGGACACATTCCCAATTGTTTTTTTTTTAATTTTGCATAAAAAGATATCCCAAGACAAAGTTTTTGTTTTTGTCCTTTTTATACATTTTTAGGACAATTGCTCCAAATTGGCCAAAATATGTCAAAATTGGTCAAAATCCAACAACTGAATTGTAGTTTTGAGCCATCCACAAACACAGTTGGGACAACTTCTTATAAAGATTAGATGTGGTATGATTACCATTCAGACGAATATCCATTAAGTTAGAGTGACAATAAGAACAACTACAGGTCACCTTACTGTCGTCAACAATGAGCAGAACCCCTATAGTCAGCTATAAAATATCTTGGGATGACAAATACACACACAAAACCAACCATCAGTCTGATGTCAACTACAACAATTGAAGATTATTCAGTGTGGCAGATATCAACCACTGGATTATAGTCCCCTTGTTTTGGACAGTCACATACAGAATGTGGTGGGGTTGCAATTATTTCTGAGGGCTCAACCCGGTCCTTACCGAAACAGTGGTGTAAAAATACAACAAGAAGAACAAACTGTAACAGACAGTTGGAAAAGGCTTGACTTATCAGATCGATGATAAGCACAAAAATATAAAAATCACCACACAAAGCTGTTGCAGTCGCCAAAATCTAATCCATAGTCCCATTTCAACAAATCAATAGTTCATACCTTACCACAAGCATAGAAACTTACATTGATTGCAAGTTTGGAGCATGACTTCCATTTTCCAATTGTGAACATTAAGGTGTAACAACATTTTAGTAGTACCTACATACAGAGTGTATACATTTCTCAAATTATACAAAAATACAGAATTAATAGGGTACATCAGAATTTCTTATAAACGTTGGTAGAAGGTCGGTAACTATTAGAAACACTCTTTAGAGAATTAGGATGAGTATACAAAGAAGGTCGCTAACTAATAGTAAAAGTTACTCTTTAGAGGATTAGGATGATAATACAAAGAATGTCGCTAGCTAATAGTAAGTAACATTCTTTAGAGGATTAGGAGGATTATACAAAGAAGGTCGGTAACTAATTTTAAGTAACACTCTTTAGAGGATTAGGATGATTATACATAGAAGGTTGGTAACCAATAGTAAGTAACACTCTCTAGAGGATTAGGAGGATTATACAAAAAAGGTCAGTAACTAATAGTAACACTCTTTAGAGGATTAGGATGATTATACAAAGAAGGTCGGTAACTAATAGAAAGTAACACTCTCTAGAGGATTAGGATGATTATACAAAGAAGGTAGGTAACTAATAGTAAGTAGCACTCTTTAGAGGATTAGGAGGATTATACAAAGAAGGTCGATAACTAATAGTAAATAACACTCTTTAGAGGATTAGGATGATTATACGAAGAAGGTTGGTAACTTATAGTAAGTAACACTCTTTAGAGGATTAGGATGATTATACAAAGAAGGTCGGTAACTAATAGAAAGTAACACGGTCTTTAGAGGATAAGGAGGATTATACAAAGAAGGTCGTTAACTAATAGTAAGTAACACTCTTTAGAGGATTAGGAGGATTATACAAAGAAGGTCGATAACTAATAGTAAGTAACACGGTCTTTAGAGGAATAGGAGGATTATACAAAGAAGGTCGGTAACTTATAGTAAGTAACACTCTTTAGAGGATTATGATGAGTATACAAAGAAGGTTGGTAACTAATAGTAAGTAACACTCTTTAGTGGATTATGATGAGTATACAAAGAAGGTTGGTAACTAATAGTAAGTAACACTCTTTAGAGGATTAGGATGATTATACAAAGAAGGTCGGTAACTTATAGTAAGTAACACTCTTTAGAGGATTAGGAGGATTATACAAAGAAGGTTGGTAACTAATAGTAAGTAACACGGTCTTTAGAGGATTAGGAGGATTATACAAAGAAGGTTGGTAACTAATAGTAAGTAACACTCATTAGAGGATTAGGATGATTATACAAAGAAGGTTGGTAACTAATAGTAAGTAACACGGTCCTTAGAGGATTAGGAGGATTATACAAAGAAGGTCGATAACTAATAGTAAGTAACACTCTTTAGAGGATTAGGAGGATTATACAAAGAAGGTCGGTAACTTATAGTAAGTAACACTCTTTAGAGGATTATGATGAGTATACAAAGAAGGTTGGTAACTAATAGTAAGTACCACTCTTTAGAGGATTAGGATGAGTATACAAAGAAGGTTGGTAACTGATAGTACAATGTAGTAAGTAACACTCTTTAGAGGATTAGGATGATTATACAAAGAAGGTCGGTAACTAATAGTAAGTAACACTCTTTAGAGGATTAGGAGGATTATACAAAGAAGGTTGGTAACTAATAGTAAGTAACACGGTCTTTAGAGGATTAGGAGGATTATACAAAGAAGGTTGGTAACTAATAGTAAGTATCACTCTTTAGAGGATTAGGATGATTATACAAAGAAGGTTGGTAACTAATAGTAAGTAACACGGTCTTTAGAGGATTAGGAGGATTATACAAAGAAGGTTGGTAACTAATAGTAAGTAACACTCTTTAGAGGATTAGGAGGATTATACAAAGAAGGTTGGTAACTAATAGTAAGTAACACGGTCTTTAGAGGATTAGGAGGATTATACAAAGAAGGTTGGTAACTAATAGTAAGTAACACTCTTTAGAGGATAAGGATGATTATACAAAGAAGGTCGGTAACTAATAGTAAGTAACACTCTTTAGAGGATTAGGGGGATTATACAAAGAAGGTCGGTAACTAATAGTAAGTAACACGGTCTTTAGAGGATTAGGAGGATTATACAAAGAAGGTCGATAACTAATAGTAAGTAACACTCTTTAGAGGATTAGGAGGATTATACAAAGAAAGTCGGTAACTAATAGTAAGTAACACTCTTTAGAGGATTAGGAGGATTATACAAAGAAGGTAGGTAACTAATAGTAAGTAACACTCTTTAGATGATTATACAAAGAAGGTAGGTAACTAATAGTAAGTAACACTCTTTAGAGGATTAGGAGGATAATACAAAGAAGGTCGGTAACTTATAGTAAGTAACACTCTTTAGAGGATTAGGAGGATTATACAAAGAAGGTCGGTAACTAATAGTAAGTAACACTCTTTAGAGGATTATACAAAGAAGTTCGGTTACTAATAGTAAGTTACACTCTTTAGAGGATTAGGAGGATAATAAAAAGAAGGTCGGTAACTTATAGTAAGTAACACTCTTTAGAGGATTGGGAGGATTATACAAAGAAGGTAGGTAACTAATAGTAAGTTACACTCTTTAGAGGATTAGGAGGATTATACAAAGAAGTTTGGTTACTAATAGTAAGTTACACTCTTTAGAGGATTATGAGGATAATACAAAGAAGGTCGGTAACTTATAGTAAGTAACACTCTTTAGAGGATTGGGAGGATTATACAAGTAACACTCTTTAGATGATTATACAAAGAAGTTCGGTAACTAATAGTAAGTTACACTCTTTAGAGGATTAGGAGGATTATACAAAGAAGGTCGGTAACTAATAGTAAGTAACACTCTTTAGTGATTGGGAGGATTATACAAGTTTTGAAGGGGAGGGGGATATCCTCCTCAGGTGGCAGTCGAAATTCCGCTCTTTTTCCATGTCGAAACGCATTGCGGACTAACACATTGAATTTGTTGTTAAATTATGTTAATCTGTTTACATCCCGAATTCGCATGAAATATTACCTACTGGACGTTTAATAAACAACACATAGACAATCATTCAAGCAAAACATTACTTCAAAGTATGACCTTGTTTGATATCGAAATTTGAGAATCAGCAAGATACAGAACCTCTAGAGAAATAAGTACCGTAGATTGCATGAAGCGTTAATTATGTATTAAATATTGATAATCGATTTTTTGGGATTCTGTAGAGTAGACTTTTACAATTGACTCCTTTCCAAGGCTCTCACGTCAACCGTTTTGTGCTTTACATTAAGGAACAACTCAGATTCTTATGATTGTTCTGTTTTAAAGAGTAAAAAAAAAACAGATTGAATTTAAACAACTTTCAAAGTTTTTATTCCGCTGTTTTGTTAAAATGCGAGAGTGGTTCCGAAATAAAATTATTTCCGTCAGATAAGTACTGAAGTGGTGCTGTTCCTATTATATTACCTTTATAAAACTCTTTGATATTGAACTTCCATAAAGAAATGGAGAACCACAATTGACATGTCCTTAATCAAAACATAATTCTAACAGTTTGTTTATGTAATTAAGCGAATGCGTAGTTTTCTTGATCTTGAGAGGCATCAGAATAAATGGTTGCTCTGGATTCCCCAATCCATTGATTGATTTGCAACTCAAG